GCTTCCGTTTAAAACATACACCCCTTCAGTTTCCCCTCTCTTCGCTGCCGGGTGCCACACCTGCTCCGAGAGCGACCCAGTGGCAGGGGGGAGAGGGGGGCAGGAGCGCCTCCCTCTGTTCTGCCCCCCCTACATTCCTGAGAGGGGGGCTGTGCTGCAGCTCCTCGCCCTCCCCCACCTCCCCCGCTCTCACTGCTCTGGAATGCAGCAGCTCCGCCACGTGAACTTTTGACCTCTCCTCTACCCCCTCTCCCCAATCCAATACTTCTCTTCCTCTCTCTGGGCGCGTGTGCCGCCCCGACCCCTTCTCGCTCAATCTGTTCCCCAACTCTCAGATTCCCCACCCCCCTCCCCACACTGGCCCCCCCAAATCAGTCTGCAGCAGCCGCCAGTCCCTGCTCCTCCCTCAGACTGGGGAAAAGAATGCGCTCCTGGACTGGCAACGCCACCCTGTAACCTTTCTTCCAGACAGCGCCCCCCGGAGTCCCACTGCAGCTACTACACCAGCCCGACAGGGAGCCAAGTGGGGATAAGGATTGCTATAGTTGATCTGATAAAAAAAAGCCCTCCCAAGGAAAACCAGGGCGCAGGCCTGACTGCGTGATACAGCCCCTCGTGCCATACAGCCAATAAGGCTCAGGGATTCGGGGATGGATGGAAATCCCGAAGGCTCAGAGCTCTGGAAAACCCCCCACACAGGCTCTCCTCGCCCCACTCCCCACAAAAACAAACTCCGAGGGTCCACAAAGCCCTGGGGGGGTCACCCACCACCCCCCAGAACTGAGCCACCCAGGACAGAAACCCCACCAGCAATAATGCAGGAATCCACACTAAGCCAAGAAAACAAGAAGCGAAATTAAAGCTCTCAACTTGAAGGAGATTGGACCCCGTTATCAGAGTCATCCTGACCAACACTAGCAGAACCCAGCCAGGGTCCACAGAGAGCCCAAGAGAGCAGCCGGAGAAAGAGAGACTTCCTCCTCACCTGCCCTAAACACCCAAGAATGCTCTGAGCATCTCATCCAGTCTTTTCTGGAAGGAAGCCACGGTATCCATTTGAAAGCACATCTGGGCAGCTTGTTCCACACTCCCACAACTCCCATAAGGTGGATGCTGCACACTGGTGGCGGTGGAAGGGAGTCCCCGTCACCTGTAAAGTGCTTTGAGTGGAGTGTCCAGAAAAGCGCTACATAACTAACAGATATTATAATTATAACCCTTTGTGTAAACTGTCCTATCAATAAGGCTTGTCGGTCTGTACTGAATATGAACTGCTGGACTGCTGGCCATGGTTCAGCATACAGAGTACTGTTCTATAGTTCCATAACATCCAGCACTGTAGAGCAAAAGACACCAATGTGGGAGCCTAAAGTGTCACACCATGCAGGTACATAAGGTTAACAATCCTACTACAGCTGACTAGACCGCAATGTGCCATAAGCAAGTTTAGCATACAAACATGGCACTACGGCAAACCCAGTGTAGCACAGCACACTGCAGTTACAAAGATCCTGCACTGGGCTGTACTTTCACATAGTAACATGACACTGCAGATCCATACACTAACACAGGGCGCTGCACCCTGATATACAGCCACCCATGGGCAGGACTCCAGCAGGCCCAGACTGGCCACTTCCTGCCGCGGGGCAGGGGGGGGGAGGGGCACTCCGTCTCCTCTTAAAAAGAAAAAGTCAAGGGTCAGGGGGGAGCAAGAGGGGAAACTGGAGAAGGAGAGAGAGAGAGAGGAAGGGAGGAGGGAACTCAGTTGAACTGGCAGCCCAGTATGTGATCTCCTGTCACAGCCTGAGGAACAGTGAG